CCCCCCCCGCCTGCTGCCCCCGGACCACAATGCACTGCTCCCCCCCCTCGGATATGACCACCTCCAGGGCCTGGGGGGGCGCCCCCCCGCCCGGGTCCTCCGCCTGCACGTACAGCACGGCGTGCTGGACGCCCCCCCCGGCCGACGCCCCCTTTTCTGGGCCCGCCCCCTCCTGGGCTAGCGCTATGCTAACGTCCTGAGTTAGCGCTATGCTAGCCTCCTGGGTTAGCGCTGTGCTAGCCTCCTGGCTCTTCCTGGGCCGGCCTTTGGTGGGCCTCTGGTGGCCCGGGGCTGGACCCGGCCGGCCCTGGCTGCCCCCCCCCCCCCCCCCCCGGGCCCCCCCCCCCCGGGGCCCCCCCCCCGGGCCTGGTGCTGGGCCTGGTGCCTGAGCAGGCTCTGCCGGACGGTGTAGGCGGCGCCGCAGGGGCAGCTGAAGGGTTTCTGCTGCAGGTGGGCTGACCGCACGTGTCTCCGCAGCTTAGTGGCTAACGTGTAGCCTGGAAACAGGAAACGCAGCGGTCAGCACCAAAACAGACAAACCACGGAGGGAAAACCAGCTCTCTATGTCCACATTTAAGGCCGGACCAAGGGGGGGCTTTTGTGGAAATTAAGAGAGTTAAGTTGTAACATTACAGTGAGAATAAAGTCTGGGCATTATGAGAATTGGGAGCATCACTAGAATAAAGCAGTAATATTATGGGGATAAAATCGTAATATGAGAGTAAAATCATAATATTCTGAGAATAAAATCGTAACATCATGATAATAAAAATTGTAAAATTAGAATAAATTTGTAAAATTATGAAGATAAAATCATAATATTATGAGAATAAAATCGTAAGATTAGGAACATCAAATATTAACATCATGAGAATAAAATTATAACAACAATAACATATTAAAATTATGAGAATAATATCGTAACATCATGATAATAAAATGGTAACATTACATATATTACATATATATTAAATATTAACATCATGAGAATAAAATAGTAACATGAGAATAAAATTGTAAAATGAATAAGATAAAATCATAATATTTTGAGAATAAAATCGGAACATTTTGAGAATCAAATAGTAACATTAAAAGAATAGAATCGTAAAATTATGGAGGATAAAATCTTAATATTATGAGAATAAAATTGAAACATGAGAACAAAATTGGAACATTGCTTAAATAAAGTTCTAACATTGTGGGTAAAATAGCCATAATTTACAAGAATGATTTAGTAATTCCAAGCTCACTTTCTGGTCTTAATAACTCAATCAAAGATTTGTTCTCATTAATACTTATTTAGCTTATTTTTCACACTTATTTTTCCTTGTAACATAACGACTTCATTTTTGTTTACAGTTTATTTTTAAATGTTCCTGTTGATGTCAAGTCTGGATATTTAATTTCAGTTTTAATTTTCTGAAGTAATTTAATTTTTAGTTAGAATTTTCTGGAGTAACTTAATTTTCAGTTTTAATTTTCTGGAGTAATTTAATTTCAGTTGAATTTTCTGGAGTAATTCACCGGACTGTTTACAGCTCAAAGTCTGTCCTCCCGGAGCGTTTAAGGACACGCTTCCTCCGGTTAAATCGATTCCTGGTGAGGGAGGAGATGAAGAGGCGTCAAACAGAGATGAGAAACGCCTCTGAGGAGCAATTTCCTGTATCTCAGTCATGTGTTTTTATCGCTGGCACACGAGTCCAGCCGGAGGGTCAGCAGCTCGGTTTTAACTCATTTAATTCAAATTAAACTAAAGGGGTTTAAGAATAGAAATGACGTCTAGATAGATTCGTACAACACTAACAAAACTCACCATTTTTTGGAGAAAAAGAGATAAATCTTTACTTTTTTGTATCACTCTCAGCCCAAAAATAGATTCCCAGTGTCTCTAGATCAGTTTTTTATCTTTTTTTTAGTCCCCACCAGAGAAACATCAGATGTTTAGCCTTTTTTTACATGTTTTTGATGTTTTTGATGTTCTGTTGTTCTTTGAATACTAAACCACAAAAAAAACTGTCTAATTCCAGTTTAGACAACATCTTCTGGCCCTTTGAGGCGATTAGTGGGAATCAAATCAGGGGATCGATTCAAAGATTAAATCATTTTCTCATCACTTTTTCCTCCATGAGACGATTTAAAAGGGTTTCTATGTGTCTCTGTTGTTTTAGGCTTTTGCTGTCATCCAAAACACAGACGTCTAAAATATCTGTGTCTTTGTAAGAAACTGAAGTAAACTCCACTTATTCCCCATTTGTTTTCTGCTCCTCTTCACCTAAAGCTCTGCCTCTCGCTCTGCTGATTGTTTGTTGTTTGTTTGTTTATTAATTGGTCATTTCAGGACCCGACAGCTAAGCCCCGTTAGGCTAAATAAGTCCACCTGAAGCTGCCTCCAGGCTTCATGAGGAGACTGTGTGGTCAGAGTGGTTTTGCTGCTTTGGGAAGCAGGAGAGAGCCTGCTGGGAGGATAAATAAGACTGTCCGAGGGGCAGATCTGACCAGAGCCTCACACCCCCCCACTGGGTTTCTCATCAAACCATTTCTCACAGCTCCGGCTCAGCATTTCTCACTCTGAAGCGCTGCTAATTCTTCAGAGAAATAACAAATAGAGACTGGAAAATGTATCCGAACACTTCTAACATGAGCTTCTCCTCTCAGAATGAGATAAAAACTGTACGCGTTTGCAAAAAAAAGCACAGGAGACATAATCAGACATTCCTCCAGGTTCCTAAAGACTGATTTATTTACAGGAGAAAAACTGCCCTCTCAGCTTTCTGTGGGGAGTTTTTCCCTAAACGAGCTTTGATTCAGTCTCCATCAGCTCTGGCAGCAGGACAGCAAAGGTAAGGCGGCGTTTCTGAGGCTGTTTGTGGCTCACAACTAGAACTATATATATATATAGTTCTAAAATAGGTGGTAGAGATAATAACAATAATTTTGAGACTCAAACTAAGTTATTGACATTATAACTACCACTTATTTTAGACCTATATTTTTTCTTGAATTTCCCCTTGGGGATCAATAAAGTATCTATCTATCTATCTATCTATCTATCTATCTATCTATCTATATATACGTATAGTGATTTATGAATATATTTATCTATATTCTGTGTGGAATTTTGTATATATATATATAGTATATGTATATATGTATAGACATATATGTATATATATATGTATATGCTGTTGTTTTATTTATGGAGCTGGTATAAAAAATAATTTCCCTCGGGGGTTATTAAAGTATTTATAGTATTATAATTAATACAATTATCATCATTATAAGTATTTATTGTGATTCTGATTCTGACAAAGTAGAACTTTGGTCTTTTTTTCTTGCTGGTTCAGTGAAAATTGGTAGTTTTCTGACTTATCTACCTCTTGTTTTTTGGTAAATAGTTTGAACTGTGTCTGGTGGCTAAAGTCTCCTCCCCCTTTTTCTACTCTGGCGTCGTGGTTTCACCTTTCCCGCAGACGGAGCAGCGGTGGGGTCTCTCCCCGGTGTGCAGCCTCTCGTGGGACTTCAGGCTGTGGGGGTCCCGGAGCGACTTCCCACAGTGGCTGCAGAGGAAGCCCCCCCCGGTGTGGGAGAAGATGTGGCGGCGCAGGTCGGGCTTCTGGGAGAAGGCCAGGCTGCACTGGGGGCAGGGGAAGGGCCGCTCCCCACTGTGGGTCCTCAGGTGGCACTCCAGGTTCCCTGGGAGGAGAGGAGAGAGGGGTCACAGGATGAATATGCATTGTCCAATAAGGTGGGGAGATTATCCTCTCGACATTTAATGGAAGCTGTCAGCGTGATGGATGGGAGCGAGCAATGAGATGAAAACCACTCTGAATGAGGAGCTTTTTGGCTAAAAAAAATAAGGAGCCGACTTACAGTCTCAGTCACCGTCAAAGAGAGACTT